TTTCCCTAAAAGTCTTGATAACACCATCGTAGAGTTTTTCTTACTATTTCAGCAAATAGGATTGTAAAGTTATTTGTTGTACTCTCCCATTCACTGTGCTCCTAGTTCACCCAACCATGATGCCTTTCACTAGTGAGAAACTTGGAAATGTGAAAACAATCTATATCGTGCAGCTCAACTATATGCACAAACATTTGTTTATTTGTTATGACTGTTCTTTATGAATCACGCTTGCTTGAGTGGTTAATCAGGTGATCTGTTGTTGATGCATTGTCTAATTATAAAATTTCTAATGTTTTTATTTAAAACAAAAAAAATATACATATTTAATCAAAGCTTTTCATTATAATTTATCAGTGGAATCTGGAAAAATCACGCATCTCTAACAATGGACTTCACTACCAATCTGACTTTTTATTGATGTTTGTGCTTGTTTACAGTTATGGAAAAAAGCTGCAGAGCGTATTAATGTATCTGGCAGATTGCTATATGCTCTCAGGCCGGTTGTGCACATCTGTAATGCCAGCTAATTAACAAAACTTCTTTGCGTTAAGTATTTACATTACATTGCTTTACATTCCCCTACAGACATCCAGCAGTTGGAGACGCACATCAAAAACAGGAAACAAAGAGACCAGGATACACGGGATCCTGTCATTGGCCAGTTACAGCAGATGATTGACAGTCTTCAGAGTTCACAAGACCAGCTGGCGTCTACAGTGACGGCCAGCGTTAGCTCTGACGTCCAGCATCAGCTCCACATGATTGTCGGAAAGTAAGGCTTACCACCACCACACACACACACACACACACGCACACACACACCACACACACACACACACACACACACACACACACACACACACACACACACACACACACACACCTGTGTTCATGAATGATCGAGCACAGCAACACTACAACATTTGCCATTTGATCGGGTTACCATAGCGACTGTAGAATCACCACAGCAGATCAGTTGAGTGCTGTCCTACAGTGTGGCACTGCAGTGTGTAGTGTAGTGCAGTATTTGTGATGTGGGTCAGCTCTGCAGCAGGACTCGAGCTGTGGTTTCGCATGGCAGATCTCTGTCTCTGTGATCAGCAGTAATGTTTGGGGAATCAGTAAAGCTCTGCCTTTATACCTCAGGGAATGAAGCTCCAGCTGTGTCTGCAGGGTTTGTCTGGAGGAAGAAGCGCGTCTCCGCGGATTCTGTAGCACTTCCGACTGGAGGATCAGCACGACAACACACATACACACACACACACACACGTGCGCGCGCTCCTGTACTTTGGAGTTTGGAAGTTGGCGTACGGCGCTCGAGCGCGGACAAAAAGCTCCAGCATTCAGAATCACTGACGGTCATAGCGCAAACGCTCTTCACTGCAGTTTACACTGTTCTGTTTCCACTGCAAGACTAAAAACAACTGATTTATCCAATAAACGCGCACATGTAACCCCCTTTACTGCCAGCAGCATTCAGCATCATCAGTCTGCCGAGCACTCTCACATATATAAATGTTCATTAAGAGACCTGACGGGAAAACATGTCTCGCTTATAAACACACCTTTCTGTCTCAGGATAAAGTGTCAGTGAACCCATGACAATACCCATGATGACATCTTACTATCATCATG